CCGCTCTACCACTCGTACAACGACCCACTCATAAGGAGTGAGCAACTAGGCGCTTACTAGCGTCCATAGACATTACCTACCTACTCATACATGAGTAAGGATAGCGAAGTTTCACACTCACTCCCCGTGGGCACTCGGTATTTATGGACAGAGCAGGACAAATCACAAATCAGATAACCTGAGGTGCATTCTATGAAAGATGGAATAATGCAATACCGCATTTTTATCATGAACATTATAACCTCTCCGATCGGGATTCGATCCCTCGCCGCCAATGCACGTGAATGCAAGACGGCCGCTCTACCACTCGTACAACGACCCACTCGTCTTGCATTCACGTGCATATATATATATATATTTATATACGTGTGTGTGTGTGTGTGTGTGTGTGTGTTTGTGTATGTATATATATACATATATATATGTATATGTATATATATATATATATATATATATATATATATATAATATATATATATATATATATATATACATATACATTTTATATATTCTATACACACACACACACACACACACACGCACACACACACACACACACACACACACACACACACACACACACACACACACACACACACACACACACACACAACACACACAAACACACACACAAACACACACACAAACACACACACACACACATATATAGATAGATAGATGGCAGATATATATATATATATATATATATATATATATATATATATATATATATATATATTTACATATACATATCGGACCCCTCCTTACACTACACTATAATGGGTCAGTTAGAATTAAAAGTATTACTTAAGGGAATTTTATGATCAACTGGAATTAAATTTAATATGGACGTCTTCATAAACTAATTTCTTTTCACATAGCTAATTAACTCCACTTCCCAGGGCCTCCCGAGAAACCCTACAATTCATTAATTTATAGGTAGCTTGGCGTGGCAGCCAATGCTGGACGTGGGGTGGCTATGGTTTTCCCTGTTAATATGGTAAACAATAACCTATTTTTTGGGCGACTCAGAAAAAAATCTATAACAAATTTGTTAACAATTAATAAATGAAGTCACAAAGGGAATGACTTTAATACCATGGGAAACAAACAAGATTTTTTTTTTTTAAATAGTAATATGGTTTTACCAACACTGATATTTGCCAGAGGACCACTGTGACTTAATTCTTACAAATATGTTCCAAAATCTATCTTAGGAGTTCAATATCTGTAGATGATAAATATTCATTGAGGTTAGGTTTGTTTGAGAATGCAATTTCTTAATGAAAATCATTTGTGCTCCTTAATACGAACAAATAGGGTGCGGGATGTCTTCCCAAAGTAGGTAGCATAACAGTTACCACACGTAAATTTATAAATAATTGAGGACCTTAAAGGTTCTGGAATTTTATCCTTAAATTTGAAAAGATTGCCAATAGTTAAGGAAGCTGCACATATTATTTTAAAATCTATTGTAGAATAATGTTTCCTTATGAGACTAGTCAGCTTTCTTTCAAAAACAAAACTAATGGAGCCTACATATGGTAACTTTATACAAATCTTATCTTTAGGGACAATCAATGGAATTACTGGAGGGACTATGAGATTATTCAAGGTTTTCTTAATGTTTCTTAAAATGAAATTCAATGGATACTTATTCTTTCTAAGGATGCTAGTGATGAAATAAATTTCTTTTGAAAAGATCAAATAATTCTTAAGAGATTTTGTAGGCTCTGTAAATGAGTGTAGAAATCAAATTTCCTTTGTATTTAATTGGAATATAAGATTCAAATTTAGTGGCGCAAGGCCCGAGTAAGTTGCTTTTCTCAAAATAGGTTTCAAAAGAATTTTCATTTCTAGATATGTTAACATCTAAGAAAGAGAGGGAACCATTACTTTCAATATCACATGTGAACTTAATATTGGGGTGTTTATTGTTCAAATATTCTAAGACTTTGTTGATTTGTTCTTGAGATATAAATAGCAATAATGTGTCGTTCACATATCTAAAATAGTGTACTGGTTTAAAGTTTAAAGGACAATTATTAAACCAAGTTTCCTCATTATGACATAAAGATATTTGCTAATGTTGAACCTAAAGGGCTACCCATTGCAAAACCCTCAACCTGTCTAAATAACTTAATTATCACTACATAATTATCAAAGATCATCAATAATTTCTTCCTTTTTTAATTTCCTTAGTAATGAAATTAATTTATCTTCATTTTTTATTATTAAAATAAGTACAACTCCTAGACCTTTGTCCGACTTTGTAACGACTAAATAAGAGTTCTTTGATAAGTCAGTAAGGAGTTTAAAGTCTGCTTTTGCTATGCCATCATTTAGTATTTCTTGCTGATAAAAGTAGTAAGTAGAAAAAACTATATTTTTAATTGAAGATGTTACATGATTTTTAAATCTAGGAATTTACTTGACGGTTTGTGATTAGATAAGGATCTTATTATTTTTTTTTTTTTTTTTCAAAAGATAAAAATGAGTG